CAGATCACTCAGAAGGCCTCTCTGGCATCCACCCGATGGTCTGAGTCTACCAGATGCGCTAGAATGGAACTGTTTCAACCCTTTAGTTGGCTCTTTCCTAACCATGCTGGAATGTGTTCTCTTACTCTTTTGGACATATTACCATATACATGTAAAGGCCTGATAATAATTATCGAAAACAAACGTATTTTCACCATTTAATCCTAATATTAGTCTTAACTTTAAAAGTAGTCCCGATATAACAAGCTCCATAATACTAAGTAGAGTAGCCTAAAGTGGGTTGCCAACTCTAGACCTAAAACTTAGCCAAAACTAACCCCATCCGAAACCCTGGACACTTAGCAGCAACAGGTAGGCCTACTGCGCGGATTTTAATGGAAGTATCACATGCCTGCTTTAACCAAATAAGTAGCCAAGTTTGTAGTAATAGGAGTTAAACTACACATACATGCACAGGCGTCTGCTACATTGCACAGATAATTAATTGTTTGTCTCCTCTAATCTATCGCAGGTTCCTAACCCACCTCTCCTATCTCCCACCTATCTTATTTGTAGATATTGTCGGCGTGGAGACAATCTGTCTCGCGGATGCCAATGTTACCCTCAATGCCTCCAGCGAGTGCTACGTAGTCGGACAGAAAACCCGCGTAGTGCCCCGTCCCTTCAGGTTCCTCGATGATTTCTTCCTATTCGGTTCCCCATTCTTTCCTTTCCATCACCGCCGACGTTCAGAGGGTCATCACGGGGGCAGCAGCAGCGATGAAGAAGAAGACGTAGAAGACCAACAGCGAGCGGGTCTTCAGGAGGTCCGTCTGACACCTTCGGCACTGAAAAAATGCGTCCGCTGTTCTCCCGCCCTCAGTAAAGAACTGCATATCTGTGCTGGTAAACGCAACAAGGTAAGCACTTGCTGCCGCGACTTTGACGGTAGTTTCAACCACCACAATCTACGGCAAACAACAGTCACCGAAATGTTTTCCTTCCTCTGGCACGCACAGTTAGATATCGGCAGTTTTTTTTACTCTAAATGCCATAACCATCTGGAGTAAGCTACCCGGAGGTATCAAAACTCAGCAAAGCTAGCCCTTGGTTAAGAGAGTTATCACTAGTTTTTTAAATAAAATTGTCAGTTATGCACAGTGCTAATATGGTTGTCGGCGGGGGTGGGGAGGGGAGATCGATTAGTCATCTCCTCGTTCTTCCGCCACCTGCATGACCGAGCCAGTGTGTTGAGGACGTTGGAGGGTTGGGAGCGGGCAGGAGGTTGAACAACACCAACCACAGAGAGAATCCTGCGCACCGAACTGGGCTTGATTGTCTTGCGCTTCGAGGATTCGTCACAACTTGACCCACGTAAAGGACCCAACAGGACAAAGAGATTGATAATACAAGCGAACATGCGTGTCCCAGGAAGCACTTGAGAAGAAGAAAACTCGATCGATGGGACAATAAGTTTATTCGCAAACTTCTGTGCATGCTTTACTTGTTTCTGC